ATCGAACTGGGGAACAGACGCGCTTACTCTGCCCGGACTGCAACAGACATCAAACAAACTCACGAGTAACCTAAGGCTCGGGCCATACACGCAAACAATCCAGGCCTTCCAGAGGCAGCGGCAGGCACCACGGGAGCTCGCTACCAACTACACCAGCCGCTAGGGGGTCCGGTCGAGCTGTAGGACGCGCACCTGGTTGGAGGAGAACAAACACAGGACACAGCACATCGGCTCTAAAATAACACTCCCCGGCCAAAAAGCAGTTCCACCTTAACAATCACTGTTCTCCCACGCTGTTGGCACAGACAAAGCGACGCTCCCGGAGGGGCCTGCGAGCCCCGTGAGCTTGCTGGCTAACGTTAGCTCAGCTTGTTTCTCTGATTACAGACTTTTTATCTCATAATCTTTAAGAAATCATTTTCCAGTATCTTTCTCACAATGGTGGTCAATGTTGGAATTTATTCAGTGAAGGTTCATACAGCTCCACATTCAGTACCACAGTCTGAACCACTCAACCAAATCCTGTTTATGGGACACTCAGTGAGAGGCTGAAGTATAAATAAACATTTCCAGGATATTTAGTCATTTAAACTCCTTTAGTTAGACGACTGTATCTTTAATAAGAGAGAACAGCAGCCACACTATTATATCCAGAGCGTGTTCTAAGGTCCAGTTTTAAATGAGAGTGACTAAACAAAAAACTACCAGTAATATTAAAATAAGTTCCCTGCAGCTCATAATAGATCTTTCGACAGCAGCCATGTTTAAAAATGAACCTGTGGAGCCAGACTGCCAGAAATCCATCTGATTCAACAGCCACACCAATCAGGCGATTAATCAGCAATCATCAAACTGAACGTGAAACTGGGCTCAAAGAGATCATCAGTGCATCCAATGTGGATGTTAAAATAATCAGTCAAACCTAATTAATTAAAGACGAGTTGAGTTAATTCACTGGAGCTGTGATCATATTCAGACACAACTCGAGCACGCTGGCGAGCACCGACAGGAAGTTGTGTAAAAAGTGTCCTACCTCTGATCAGCTTATGTGGCTGTTCGCACATGGAGGCCGGTCTGCTGTCTCTCTGGGGATAATCTGCTTTAACTGCAGGGAGTGGGGGACACTGTGCACCAGGCACTACAGTGACATCATGTCAGCGATATGAGCAGCAGCAGCGTGTGAATGGACTGCTGTCCACCGCTCGCTTACAGGCGAACACCACACACACTGTCACTGCACAGACTCTATCCATAATGCCACCAAACTCTACCCATAATGCCACCAAACTCTACCCATAATGCCACCAAACTCTACCCATAATACCACTAAACTATACCCATAATGCCACCAAACTCTACCCATAATACCACTAAACTATACCCATAATACCACCAAACTCTACCCATAATACCGCCGCTTTCAGCAGTCTCTCACAGTCAGTTTTCCACATATCTGCAACAAAACTCCCAGAAAACAACTTGTATTCTATTCTCTGATAGGAGCTCTTTTGATTACGTCACCTGGTTGTGTCTTCTTCTGCAGTGCTTAATGACAGTTTATCAGCTAATTAACTCATATATGGATCAGTTAAAGCTTCCATATGTTTAGTGTCTCTGTATAATCTGTGTGAATCAGTGTGTGTGTATCAGTGTGTTTGTATCAGTGTGTGTGTGAGCAGAGAGTGAACGGGTTGTGGTGTAGCTTTGTTCATCTGGTGCCTGTGGACTGATTTCTGTGTTTCTATGTAGGGACGAGGGTCAAAGGATGAAATAGGATTTGGAATTAGATAATGCCTCATTTGCATATTTAAAAAGAAAATGTATAATCCAAAATGAACAGTCTTAATGTCAGTACTGAACGGGGGAAGTATAATGCAGATATGTATTATTCTAAATATTCGACCCGGTTCACCTGGAGAGAAAACGCTGACCCAGAAAGATTTGATGTTTGCAGACAGCAGCTCACTGTGGCTGCCATTATGTTCACAGGAGGATTAACTGAATCCTCTTCAGTTTTCCATTAACATGCAACAGGACACTGTGTTAGATATACCGGTGTATAAATATAAATATATATAAATAAATATAGAAATATATAACAGCCAGAAGAAAGGATCGCCCAGCATCAACGTACCCGCTGCAAGGACCTTCTTCCTGATGCCTGTTTTGTCCTCCACCTTCCCCAGAAAGTCTGTCACCATGTTCTTCTCGTTCAGGAACTTGTCAGCTCGGTCTTTGATGGACAAGAGGATGTCCATCAGGCCCATGGTCCTCAATCAGGTCCTCAATCGGGTCTTCAGACAACAACAACAACAGAGGAGTGGGAAAGGAGACGACCTGCAGTGGAGAGTAAAACACAGCGAGTGTAATCCTCTGACAGCAGCAATCTGCTTAATGAGGAGGAGGAGGAAGAGAGAGGAGGAGGAGGCAGGAGGAGGAGGAGGAGGCAGGAGGAGGAGGAGGACGACGACAGAGAAGTTCCAGGGGAGACGCTGGCAGAGAGGATGGGAGTTAAGTTTAATTGTTGCTCACATGGTGGCGGGGGATGCTATATGTTTTACTGTAGAGTTTCACTTCAAACCATAGATGACAGGAGAAGATACTGATGAAAAAGCAGTGGAAAGAATCTTTGGTCACTGCGGAGGATGATGAAACCACCTTTTATTTGTGTGTGTTTCCGTGTGTGTGTGTGGGTTTGTGTGTAACGCCGTGCTTTAACGGGTGGAGGATTGTGACCCAGGTCTAATTGAAGTATTTAAGCCATTTAAGCACTGGGAACAGAAGGTCGTTACAGATCCAAACTGGCATGGGGGTTAGGGGCCCCGCACAGACACAAACACACACTCGCACCTACAGTACACACATGCATACACATGGCTCCTTCTGTTTAAGACAGCCTCATTTTATTCATGATGCTGCTTATGACCCTGAACTCCCCAATGTGAGAAGGTGTGTGTGTGTGTGTGTTACAGATACAGATACAAACAGTGTACTCCTGATGCCTCTGAATGACATGGAGCTGGTATTCAGGGTGCGGCTGACAGTGTAACAGCGAGGTGGCAACTTGTGCTCA